AAGATCGTTTACGATGTGTGCTGCAGAGGATACGATGAAACAACTTTACCATGTTCAGCGAGCTGTTCATTATCAGCCAAGGAAGAGTAACTGTCCTGTCTACTGGGTTGCGCATTTGTCGATTCATCAGCTATATCTGCTCGTCTGTAGAATGAATTATCAGTTAAAGCACGAACCAGTAGTTCTTTGTCCGTTTCTGGAGCGCCGATTCGATGACCAAAGGCATAAATTTCGGCATCGTAATTCCTAAAATTTATTGAAAACACACATAAATCTGTGTCAAATGCTCATCGATTATGGTAATTCTTGCAAAATATGTGTCAGGACCGACGAACTACGAAATACAGTTGCCGCTTAATAATTGCTCGCCCTTTTACACAATTGTCTCTACTTTACTGTTTTAAGTAGATGCTTTACACTAGAAATTTTTGAAGAACTGCCTTGATAATTCGATTAAAAAGAGGACTCTTCCCACTTTTTAATAGAACCTTCCCGTCTTCAAATGTAAATGCGATCAAAATAGTATGAACTGAGCGAAAATTCAAAAAAAAAAATGCTTAACGGGCATGGTACCACACGGACAGATGGAAAAAAAGGCAAAAAATCAGTTGTAGGCAAATACCAATTAGGATAAGCAGATCTACTGATCAGCGGATCGGCGCCTGCCAACATCCGCCGATGAAACAAATCCTTGAGAAATGGCCTTTCCCATCGCGCTCGTACAAATCGACCTGAAATTCACGCCAAAATCATAAGGCATTTTTGGACACAGCAACTGGAATTATGAAGGAGAAAAAATCAAGTAACAGAAAACCCAGTAATAACGAAAGTATTCACTAGGTAAAAAGTTAAATAAAGCGAATATATACATATATGTATATATACATGTATATACATATAACGCCCTTCCTCCTGTATGCCCGAAAGGATCAAAGCACGGCCAATATGAGCCCAAGTGTTAGGCTACAGCGTAGGGATCATTCCTGCTAATAGCGCTGAGCGAGTTTAGTACAAAAACGCACGATCGTACCGGAGAGCCTGGTGCGTTCCAGCCTTATGAAACTTTATTTTAAAAGTATAGAGGATGACAACAGATATGGGCGGATCCAGGACGGACTCTTCGGAGGGGGGCGGGAGGAGGAAGAAACGCGGAGTGGGAGGGAAGGGGAGTAGGGCTCCTCGGGTGGGGAGAAGAGTACTCTCCCAGCTCCTGGAACTATGCAAAAAACTAGGAATAGAGTTGTAACATTGCTGCTACTTTAGAGTCACTTTAATTTTCACACATAGTGGTCTGAGGGCTACACAAATAATTCCCGCCCCATACCACACCACACACTGTCTGTGTTTGTAGCTTAGGGATGAAACACAGATAGCAAAATCTACATATTTCTTTTCACATACTCACAACACATGTCCTTACCTTTGTCACAAAATATCCACTTATATAACTATCCTTTTTTTCCCCAATCACTTTCATCTTGTGTCCTTCTACCATTGGTCGCTACTAGTCGCAACAGTTACCAGTTAATTATAACCTCTATTTTCATTAACTTCCTTCAAAAAAAAATCCAATTCTAACTCCTCCCATTAAAAGTCCCACATACACATACAATTTTTAGTCATTCCTCCATCAACAATTTCACTTAATTACATTTAGTATGCTTTTCAACATTCGTAATGGTGAAGGTGCTGATTCATTATATGCACTTTTAACCTCTGCTTTAATCTTTCTACATTATCTTAATTCTCCTTTTTCTTTTTGACACATTGCACGTTATTTTTGCTGCAACCGTCACACTGACGAGGTCCAGTTGCAGCACTGAACAGGAATGTATGCGA